TATTGTTCCCAATGATATTTGGATCGATAACCCCTTGCTTCAAGCTCCAGAGCATTATCCAATAGGCCGCTCCTTATGTTACCAATAATTACTACAGGAAATTACGAGCGACAACACTGAAACCATGCTCATAGCACAAGAAGTAACTAAAGTGATTCAATATCCCAGTGGATAACGCTCCAGCGCTTGAGGCGATGGATGCTGGGTCTGAGTTCCAGTGGGAGCAGTATGACGTTGTGGGAGGCACGTATATCAGGCAGACAAATCTAGGGTCCCACCGCTAGCTATTGTTCATCACTGCTGTAAAACTTTAGTCATTCTCCCAAAGTGTAGTTCGATTTCAGAGTTTACTGGCAGAATCTTTCAGATTTTATCAGATATGATGGCATCCTAATAACTTATGAACCTGTAAATTATCAAACAATACTATACACTGTGTTACACATCAGTAGCATAAAACAATAAGTTATGCTAAATCCCCATAAAGAAAGTGGAATTGTGTTTCACCTTGCTTGAAGCAATGAATTTCCTGAAGTTGCACGTGAACGTTGCACGCTTTTTGCTTAAAAGCAGTTCTTCAAAGTAAATTCATGTGCATCTATTTGTCTTACTTTAAACCTGTTGACTGTGATCAACAAAATTATCTTTGCACGGAATAAATGAATTCAGATTATGAAGTTATGAAATATCATCCGAAATGGGTTAAATTCTGATCAACTAGCCTTCTTTGTTTTTCTAAGTTATTTCATTGAATTAATTATGGTTTAATTGTCTTCTAGAGTTTAGACAGATTGTATATAAGTAAAGTACATAGGATGATTCATTTTTAAAAATCTTACAAGTAATTTTAGAAATAGGAGTTCTATCCATTATTGAATGTAACATGCTTGAACAATGAAAAAATGTTTGATACACAACAGACACAAAGAAATGGTGGAGAAATAAAGTAACCCAGGTGTGAACATAATAGCGTAATAAGGAAAATCTTTGTCAGAATCAAGCTATGCCTAATAGAGAAATTCTAATCTCTTCGCTACCGTCTATTCCTCATTTCACTTGTCTATTATTGACTTGGATTATGACAATCAAAGGCATATCGACTAAGAGATTGAATTTAAATTATTTCGTTTCCATATTATAGGTTTTATTCAATTCATTTAACTTATCTGAAAACTGTAATGGGATATGGAAAACGCTATGGGAAAGTGAATGACTGTACCTAATCAAACTAATGTTCTACATCTAAAAGACTGCTTGTTAGGGTAGATTAAAGCAACATATCATCCCGAAGAATAGTGCATCAATTCCAAATCAAACACTTTACAATAAAGTAAGACTAACAAGTATTCCAAGTCACGAATATGTGGTTGAAGACAGACACATGTGGAAACTGTCTTTCAAGGTTAAACGGTCAACTATTGTGGGATTACTGTATGTATCACTGAAAGTGAAATGGTCGATAGAATAATATCATTACAGACATATAAATTAACTTATCATATTTATCTTAAAAGTACAGTTTCATTCCTTTATTATTTGTGTTTAATTGAAAGGTAAATTATGAGTGTTAACTAATGAATCTTTCTTATTGTGATAAAGTTACAGCAACTGAATAACCCTCAATAAAGAGATAGATTGTTAAAACATGAATTTACTAATGTTTATATGTTTGGTCATGTGGTAAACCTCAGATTTTATCACAAAGAAATTCAATGTAACTTCCTACTGGTTGACATTATCAGCTGTTTTCAAATATACTGCTGAAGAGATTTATTTGAATAGATAAACTTCAATTTTACATGCATCCAAAAGTTGACGCTTAACTTTATAGGTATAGTTAACAGAATTCTTGTTTGCTTGCATAAATTTATCTATGGCCATTGTGAAAATAATGAGATTATGTTTTGAATTGTTTTAAACTAAATCTGTATTCATATAATCAAGAGTTTAGATTTTACAACATGGATTAAATTTTAAAATAAGGTATTCAATCCGACTAAAGAGTTATTCTCGCCAACATTCAGTAACGCATTCTTGAGAAGTGTTATTCCTGATTTTATGTTACATTTAGATTCCGGAATGACTGATTTATATTTTCATTGAAGAACATTTCCTTACCACATTCAACAGAATTGAAACGAACAAGTTTATACCTAGTTCTTAGGCTATATTCTAGAAATAAAAAACTTTACTTCAAAATAAGTGCAGTTATAAACTGAGTTGATGAAATCTAAAACATATACTTAAATGAAACCTTTTCATTTGCAAGCCTTAAACTGAATACTATTTAACTTCACGTGATATGCACTCTTTATTAAACTCTATGGTCAGTCTCTGACCATTTGTTCTTCGTGATCACTTTCAAAATGACTTAATAAGTAAATTTCTCCATTATTGCCTTGTAGCCATAGCATACTTTCTCGTTCTAGTCTCACTATTTTTATCTTTGTTTGCATGGCGTTTACGGAAGTCAGTCAATAACGCTTAATTTACTATGTATGTAACTTCCTCCCTGAGCGTAATTTTTGAGACACTTTTGTCATTTAAGTTAGGAATAATTAGAAAGTGTCTAAGTAGTTCATTAGTCATTATTTACTTTGCCTAAAAATAGAGCAGAACAAATAATCATCATAAATACTTTGTTCAAACAAGGTAAACGGTGACTGCATTCTAATCATACCCTCATTCACAGTTGGTAGGGTAAATAAATTCCCAGCACCAGCAGTTTAGAAGTCTCTGATTGGTATCCAGTAGTAAATCGGTATCTATTTGCATAGCATTGATACCAAAACCTAAAAGTCTGGAAGGATGAATGGTGATCAGAAATGGTAGTTTGTAAGCATACTTACATTTAACGAAAAATGCTATAGATACTGAAATGAGATTACAGTTTGAACTAGGCGTATATGACAACAAAATTTCAGGACTCTGCACCATTTAATTAGATCATCCTATTCATGAGGCAATAACCTTCTTCATCGGAAACAATATTTGGCTGAACTCATCATTCTAGATATGATAATGAGGTAAAATAAGAACTGCTGTAATGTTATATTTTCTCTCTCATTAGCTTATGTGCCTATTGTGCTGAATGTCTCACTTCTCTTTGGTTTCTATGTTGTTGTTTTCTAAACTCTTGGGTCATAAATTATCTTACCATAAGAAATTGAATAATAATCAAGTCTATAGACAAAATAGATGACCTATTTCTTCTGTTTTTTTTTAAAGATAATTTTGTCCGGCGATATATGATACTACTAATAAACGTACAGTTGATAATAAATTTTTATGCATGAAAAATGTGTCCACTAGTCTCTTTATAACTATATATTCAAGGACAGTCACAATAGCAACAGCGAAATTTTATGTATTCACAAAATGCTGAAGAATGACTGTCTACATTCAAATACATGGTGTTCAGGTATATCGAATAATTGGACAAAATAACTTCAATATGCAGGACGTAAAGAGAAATGCTCATTGTTTGTGGAACTGTTTATATAACTAACATGATACCAAGAGTTTCGAATATATATATATATATATATATATATATATATATATATTGGAAACATTTCTTTCCTGACACAAATTTAAAAGAGGTAACGAATATGAAAAAAAGCAGGATTTAATGAATTCATAAACTTCAGTAGAACTCGGTAGCTGGATACTGTACATACCTGATTATATATGCCGTTACATAATACAAAAGAAAGTCCATATATGCATAGATAACGTAGAATGAAACGGATTTAGGTGTAACAACATAGAAATCATGTCCAATAATTTTTATTTGCTCTTCACTCTTAATTACCATCCATCTTATATTTTTTCTTTTGATTTGTTTCGCCTAACTGACTTTATTCCTATTACCATTGTTATCATTCTTAATCACCTGGTTTTTTTAAATTATATCTGGATAAGTACTGTTAACTATCTTGTTTTGAATGAGGTGATCTACGCTCAATTGATTCAGTCCTCACCCCAGTGTCAACCTTATTATTCTTAGTCTTATTGCTAATATGACACCGTCGTTAGTTGGACCGAATTGATCAGTCTCTGTTAGTATATAGGCTCCTGTGAGGATGCCTCGATATTGCCTGTGTTTCAGTTATGTATAGTAATGATGGGTAGTTGCTAGCAGTGGAATCCAGGATGCTCATTTCGTCCTATTTTTGACTCGTCAGCCGGAAAAGTGCATCCTGGATTCCACTGCTAGCCACTGCCCATCTTTACTTTATTATTCTTATTATAATTATTTTCCTACCTGAACTCCACCAATATTCAAACTCAGTTAACTATGTAACCTATCCCCAACCCATTCAATTTTGAACATCTATTTCTACTCTTCGCACTATCACTTGACCTATTAAACCTGCTCGTCTCTGTTATTTCACCTAAATATTTCTCAATCTATGTTATATATGTATTTATGTATCTTTTTTCCATAGTTGAGCGGTATATATAATCAAGTATGTAGAGTATCCAGTTGACGAGTACTACTGAAATTTATAATTCATATTCGTTGCTTGTTTTATGTATGTATATATATGTAATAAATTGTAATAGTTACTTGAGGCGAAACTGCACAATGAATTTCACTAACAAAGCCGGCTGATGGATGTTACGAAGACGATAGTGTTGCACACAGTAACTGGTTGAATTCTTGCGTTAGTCAGGTGTATGTTTAATATCATACATACCACAGTGCGCCGTGTTTTTCTAGATTGAGCATGCTAAGATATTCACCAGCTGACACTTGTTTACCGCATACCACTTGCGAGAAATTACTGCAGAGACTTATCAGAAAATGGTTGGTAACATGCTTCGATTGTGGTTCTTACTTCTTATGTTATTGACCTATTGTATGCCATTGTTTTTCTCGTTATAGTATTTTCTTCGCTTACTTCTAATTTTCCACTTTATCATATATTAAATTCACGATACCGATAGCTATATGTGTTTCTAACTTTTGCGACTATCCCTATTCTTGGTTTTAGGAAATGGAACAGTTTATGAAGTTCAACTAAAAGATATTCCTGATCCTACTATATTAACAACTGGAGTATCTGTCGACTACACTATAGTCGTTACACCAATATTCAATGGACTTGGTGAAAAATCAACCACATCTGGTGGTGCATCTGAACTCACATTTGCAATGGGTCGAATGGGTTAGTTTGACATGAATGACTTTCTATTTAATCAGTGCATACATTGATTTATAATACTATAGAAGCATATCTTCCTTTCCAACTAGTTTTAACCATATTGTAAGCAGTGTTGTGATTCCGTAATGTAAGTAACTCCAGGTTGCCGAAGGCACTGTTCTATTCTGTATGTAGCTTTGAGTGAATCAGTTAGAATGTTTATTAGCAAATGTCAATATATTTAAGTAGCTATTTACTATAATTTGAGTTCTTTCTCTTTTCACTCACCTAATACGGTTTAAACCCGGAATAAATAGAATATAGCATTCTTGATTTCGACATGCACAGATATGATCAATACCTATTGTCTAACAGATTAGTACAATTTCCTCTTTCTTGATGATAGGGATCTTTGATAACCAAATCAGCATCATACAAGCGAATTTCTTTTTAATTCTTTGCTGGTGTTTGAAATAATGAAAAAGACATAACTGAAGATGATGATGATGATTATTTAGTGTTCTCTGGGCTTAAAGAACACTGAAACATCGTCAACAAAGATTATTTACCCTTCAAGTTAACTGTTTATAAAACAGTGAAAATTGAATATAGTCAGCGAAACTGCTTCAAATCGAGAAAAAAGAATTGCTGAATCAAAGAGGACGTCAGAATAATAAATATTATATTCAAAGTAATCACTTTGGAGAATATTTCAGATATTCCTGAATAATATCCCACAAAAATTACAAAGGATTTTACATAAAATACCCAGCCTTTTGAACACGCATCAACATTTCTAATATCTAACGGATAGTTTAATTAACTTTTAGTCTTCAAAACTACTCAATATCAGGATGTGTATATCTTTTCAATTTGTGTTTTCTTCTAATCAAGGTCAAACTGATCTTAAGGCACCTGTTTCTGGTCGCTATCATTCAATACAAGTACAGGTTAGGCCAAGTCAAGCACCGAGTTGTCTAGACATGGAGACATTGAAAACTCAGTTCACACTGAGAGTAATCGGTGAGGAAGCTGAATATCCTGACTACATAGCCCAAGTGAATTATGTACCAATAACCACAAAAGCTGCAGACAATAAAGATATGAACAATCATGTAAAATGGTATAAAATTGAAAATCTTTTACCCGGGCGAAGATATGAGTTACAAGTGAGTGGCTTTTAGTCTGAAAGGTGTAATTACCTTCATTTTAAAAAATCAAAAAATATTGCTCATAGTTCAAATAAGCATTTTTCATATTTGAATGGACTTATAGTCACTTATCTGTATTATCAGTAGTGCTTATAGGAGTAGACGCGAAATTTTATACGCC